AAAACGTTTGCTATGAAAAAAAGAAAGGGGAAAAGGTCAAGCACTCCAACATGCCAAATCGCAAAATACTCAAAATGGACTAGTGAAAGCAGGAAAGCATCATGTTTGCTCATTAATTTATGTAACCAATGTTTGGTATTTTTAATGGCAGAATACACACAAATATTTTTAACTAGTACATGGAGAAGTCAAAAGAGAAACTTTTACGATATGGTTTTATAGCAGCATTTAAATCACTTGATTATCTAATTCACTCATCAACCAGATCCCTTTGCTCTCAGTATTTGAAATGTAGATCCTCCTTTAACTTTTTTGCAAATCAATTCTTCAGTGTGACCTAAAGAAGACATGGGTAAAAACGTTTATTGCAGGATTATTTATCACTGAAATTAATTACATTTCCACACTGTCTGTGGGCCATTATTTGGTTCTATATGAACCACTGTGTTCAGTAGGATTTACTCCCAGGTAAGTGTTTATGGAATTGCAGTCAGATAATAGCTTTTAAGAAGACTGTTTTCTTGATAAAGGAGGATGCAGAGTTGATTTTTTTGTTGAAGACTAAAATGGTCATAATCTTGGAAGATGTTTTTGAAAGGACCTATTTGGGAAAAAAAATGCAGCACCCACTAACAACTCTTGGGTTAAATCACAGCAACATGAGCTTTGTATTAACAAGTCTCTGGCATGCAAAGTGCCTAATTCAGGCCTGTTTCCTATCCCTGAACTCAATGAGTAAACATCAGATTTCAGAAGTGTTTCTGCAGGCAGACTCTAGTGTCATACTGGAAGGTTGCTGTCCAGGTTGCCACAGGTCACTTTCTCTGTGTTTCCAGGTGAATAAGAAATGCTAAAACAATTGCTTTTCATCAGGTGAGATCACTGTACTCTTTTCCTTTCTCCTGCTAAGGGGAGGGAAAAAAGGTAGTTCTTAATATAGTTTTAAAGCTTTTCACCATTTAAAAAAAAAGCTTTGTTTTGCATGGCAAAGCACTCATTTTTATCAGTTTGCAAAAACTGATAAAAATAAAAGTTAGAAAGGTAAGGCCAGAAAAAGATGGAACTACTAAGTTGCAGGTTACCACAACCCATGAAAAGTTGTCAAGAAATGTCCAGGCTCCTCTCATCACTCTGGAGAAAGAAACAAAGAGAAACCAGAAAGCTGCCCCAATATACAGGGTTTGACATCTTACTAAATTGCAGAGGAAATTTTTCTTGTAGGATCCTAAGAATTTGGGTGGTTTAAGAGGGCTGACAGTCCTGATGATCAACTGATTGACAGGATGGGTCAAGCCTTTCCAAAGTGCTGAGACTTGGACAATAACCTGTTCTCTAGACCTTTGTGGAGGTCTTAGCCCCAACTGGGTTGGTCCGATCATGTGGACGCCTTCATCCCAACACTGTGCAGTCACATTTCTGATTGTGTGAGATGCCTAACAGGAGCAAATCTTCTTGAGGACAACGCTTCATGCACTATGATTTTCTTCTTACTGGATCCTCAATCCTAACTGAACTGGCCAATACTCAGAATTCTCTTTTGTATTATGTTGTTCCCTCACCTCTGAACTTTCCCAGGTTCTTCAAGTCAGCATGTTCAGGAATTGGCACATGGTCCTTTTAGTAAAATGAAGCCATACCTTGGACACCTCTGACTACCTTGCTTCTGTAACATCGTAACAGTTCAGTTCAGGGTACAAAGGACTATCAAGGGCTAGTTGCTATGATAACTCTGAACCCCGTGTTCAAAGCATGAGTGCTTCTGGGGACAGGAAATGTCTAAGACCGTCCTTTTTGCCAAGGCATATACCAACTCCAAACAGAACATGGGAGTGGGATGGGAGTATTGCCAGCTGTCGCTTAGCAGGCATAGTGGTATGAGAGGGTGTTAATATGTGGTTGTACATTTTTCATGTAATCTTGATTATATGTTGTATTCCATTTATTAACTGATGTTCTTCAGAGAACTTCAGCTGCTTGGTGGTATGCAAATAGCATAAATAAATAAATAAATAAATTGAAAGCAGCTTCTGTGTGCATACTGGCATAGGTGTGAATGAAAAGGGGAAAGTAAGCCCACAAATTGACATGACTCTCTATTTCTACATATCAAATTTGAAAGGCTGAAAATATTTGCATTTGACATTTACATCCAGATGCCAAGCATGTTTACATAGGAGTAAGTCTAACTTTGTTCAATGCAATTTTCTTTCCGAGTAAGTGTGCTTAGGACTGCAGCCAAGGTATGGTTTAATGGAGCAGGGGGAATCACATATGTTCTGTACTATCTAAATATGTGCTCTCTTCGTTACAGGAAACTGCATCTTTTCAAGTAAGCTTTTCAAAAATTCCCAGAGAGAAGGAGATATTGCCAGCTGCCTCTTGGAAGCAGCTGGCTCAGTTCCTTTACCCACTATGGCCCGATGGAATATTCACTCAGTTAATGAAACACAAGTGTACCTACATCCATATCTTGAGAATCTGAAGATATACCTTCTCTCAAAGACAGGCCATTTTTCACAATTTTCAAAGGAAACGAGGAATGCCCTTACCAAAGCAAAGGATATCCAGAGATCCTAAACCTAATGCAACAGCCTTTCATATCAGGTATGAAAGAAGGCTTCAGGGGTGGAATACTAAAAAATTCCTGGTCAAATACAACTGATAGCTCAAGAGTGCCTTGTGCCAATGTCACTCATGTGAGGCCTTGTGCCAGGCAAACAGAACAAAAGGGGAAGATGTCTCTGCCATGCAGGATCAGGAGCATGCTGTCCGTGCTGTTTTCATGGTGGCAAAAATAGCTGGCTTTTATATTTCCAAAATGCAAACGTTTTCTTCTCTCACGTTCCTAGCAACCTTAGGGGGAATTCCACATTCAACCTGTCAGCCTCACACAGCCTGTTAGAACCAAGCATGAATGCCTCCTGTCCCATCCTCCCCACATTTCATCCTGGGGCTCTGATCATGCAGATACCACGACTCCACCAACAAGTCAGCCGCCGCCCCCCCCCCCCCCGCCTCCCTCTGCTCTTGGGGACATCTTGCTTGAGGATGGTGGGGACACCAGATTAAGAGACCTACTGAGGAGGGGCTCAAAAGCTCACACATTTTGCAGATCTTTTGCTTGGCCTCATAAAAGTAGTACACTATTTATTGTAGTTTATTTTTAGTGGCCAGTACAGCTACCTTCGCTTGCATGTTGTTTATTGCATTTGGTCTAGTTAAAATGAGTGAATCCCCACCCATTTTAAGTTTTCACCACAACGAAGCTGTACTTTCTCTGAAGTCCTTCTGGAAATAAAATGTAGCCAACAGGCACATCAATCAATCAATCAATGAACTATAGGTGTTTCTTATACCACCCTGAAAAAGGATGACACTGTTTCTATCCAGCGAAAACCTGAACTTATTCTCAGAAGCAGGACTGAGTTCTGTGCCAAGCACAGGACAGGAATGGACAATGTAGGGTTCAGACATCAACCTTCTCAGCACTCGCTAAGATGCCGCATCCGTTCCACTTTAAATGCAATACCACCATCAAAACTTTGTTTTTCAGGCAGCTGGATTACTGTGAAGTGAGCTTCTGTTGACGCTGAAAACTAGGCTGGGTCATTTATGGTGCTGGGGCTCAGAACCCACCTTTGCCTCGTGCTGAGTCTCTGGGGTAGGTTGATCATTCCTCGTCTCCTAGCCCATGGTAGCTCTTTTGTAGTTCTGCCCAGGTTGGTTCCTCCAATTGCCAAACGTGCCTACAGGCCAAGCAGTTTGCTTGCCCTAGCCTGGTAAACATTCTGAAAGTTTAGACTAACTGCCCAACCCTAAACCTATTTGCTTAACAGTTAAGTCCCACTGTTTTCAGGGGAAAGTACTTCCAAGTAAACATGCACGGATCAGCCTGTTCGAGATCAAAGTGCTCCCTAGGATAATTCCATTATTTCAGATTTCCTGCTGATCATAATGTGGTCCACAGTTTGCCTTATTACTGCAGTTCTCCAAAACACTGGCTGAGCGGAGGGAACATGAAGAAGGTAAGAAAAAAAATATCCAGGATGCTCCAAAGACTGGCGGGTCTCCGCTCTGCACCGACAAGAATGCATTCACTGGCGGGCAAGCTCAGCCCCCCACCCCCAGCCCACTTCGCACAAACTTTTCATTTGCCTCCCTTGAACAGACTTCACTGGGCCCAGCAGGCTAGTTAAAAAGAAACAAGAGCGCGGTTAAACTATAACCCTTCGTTCCAAATCACTCAGCAGCTCGGCTTCTCTGTTTTTAAAAGATTCTCGTTTCCAGGCTGGGTTCCAAAATGTAAGTAGCTACCCAGTTTAGCTCATGCCGATCCCAGCTAAGAGCACACCCAGTGCACTCCTTCTCCCATCACTGTGGCATCCGGAGAGGAAGAAAAGAGAGTCCCGAGTTTTGAAACCCACTGGAAACCAGAGCAGCTGGACAAATAAGGATCTTGCACAGGCTCGCTGCGCTTCGAGTGGCGGTTTACCGAGCAGCCCTCCTGCTTCGGGACTCGCAGCGGCATCTGCGCCGGCCGTTCGCAGCAGGGGCAGCGCCGCGACGCGCGCACGCAACAAGTGCCTGCGCGGGCAGAGCCGCGCCAGTCGCTCCGCGCCCTCTTTGTTCGCCCCTTCGCTCGCCTGCCCGCCGCGGGGGGCCTTCCAGGTCGCCTCACACACGGCGAAGCGTGCACGTGCGGGGGGCGCAAAGCGCGTGGCCTGTTTTCCCCACCACCCTCCCTGTCTTCTGCTTCAGAGCTGCCTCCACGGAAAGCCCCATTAAGAGAGAAGGGCACGCAGGGGTCCGCATTTCGCTTGGCGCCCGTGCGCCAGCGCCAGCCCGCTCTGCCCGAGCCGGTGCGCCTGGAGCGGCCAGTTTTCGCCCCGCCGCCGGGGGCGCAGCTGACGCCGCCATCCATCCATACATCCATCCATCCATCCTGGCAAGCGGGGCGGGGGGGGGGCGGCGGAGGAGACGCGGTTCCTCTGCAGACTTACCCTGGAAATCGTCAGTGGCGTGCTGAAGTCTTTGCCTCCGACCAGCCGGAAGCCCCACGGCGACGGGCCGCTCAGCACCACGGTCTGGGGCATGGCGGGGCGCGCAGTCCGGCCAGGGGAGCGGGCGAGCCGGCAGGGAGGCTGAGCCGGGCAGTGGCGCCTGCTGCTCTCGCGCCTCCGCTCGCTTCTCTCCGGCACTGCCGCTTTCTAATCCACTTAAAGCGCCTGCTAATCTCCGGTCCGGCCTGACGTCTCTCCGTTCTCCGCGCTGGCGAGGGGAGGGGGGCGGCAGCGCCGCGGAGAGAGAGGCGGGCCCCTTCGCGCTCGGGGCGGGCGCGCGTCCAGCTCCTTCCTGACCCTTGTGCTCGGCGAGCCTCCGTGGATGGAGGGCTCCGTCCTCGCCGTCCCACAGATGCGGCCGGCTTCTTCTCCGCGCAAAGTTACGCGTGCGCGCCCCTTTTAAGCACTCTGCTGCTTTGAAGAGGGACTTAAGAAAACCCTCAAGCTCCATCCCCAGCGCCCCCCCCCCAGCCCCGTCGTGGGCAAATGTGGAACTCTGAAGGGGGCTGAAACAAAAGGCAGGGAGCCCCGCCGACTGTGCCCCCCCCCCCCCTCGATTCCCAGCACTGGCTTATTCACACGTGGGTTGCGCATCATTGGATTTCTCTGCACTTAATTTCACGGGACTCCTCTCAACCCTTGTTTTATTACTTTGGATGGAGGTGAAGAGAGGAGACGTAGGGCGCATGCCACCATTCCTTTCGCGTTTCCCTCTTAGCTCCTCTGTACTGAGACTTAAGAGCTTTGACAGCTTGTTTCCTGTACCCAGCGCAGCGTGCTAATAAGCAGAGACAGGGCTGCTCATTTGCCCCCAAGTAACAGCAGCGGGTCCCACACGCTTTTCTGGGGCATATGACCTCGCTCGGTCCCTGGTGTGTGCGTGTTTCTCTCTCTTTCCTTCAGAAACAAAGCACTGGATCAACATCGCAGTTTTTCTCCAACATGTTGCATGCTTCAAATGGTGGCAAGTGTGGATTTCCATGTTTGCTTTCAAAAATAAAACAATAGTTTTGATGCTATTCTGTGGTCTGGCTCTACCCCACATTCTGTTCAACCTGGATTCGTTTGAAGAATTTCTATAATTTATTTTGGAACTAGTGCAATTGTTCTTGCCACAACTCTCTTGCTACAAGGACTTTAAGATATTAATAGCCTTAATGTCAAGTCTGTTGACATTAGCTCGAATAGGTTTTATTTATGATCATTTTTATTATTATAGTTGCTAATGTTAATTTTCCCCTTTGGGTAGTCTATATATTTATACCTATAACTGATTGTATGCCCATCTCAACAGTTCATGATTCCTCCTGCATTTATCTGTTTGATAAACTGTATCTTCCAATATTTTCCAATTGAAGAAAGGATGTTATATGTACATATTTCCATCCCACCTTTTCCCTGCAAAGTATCTAAGGAGACATAAAATCCACCACCCTCTGCATCTTGTCTTCACAACAGAAGACAGGGTCAGTTAGGCCAAGAATCAGTGACTGGCCCAAAGTCAGCTGGTCAACTTTACTGCTAAGTGGAAACTGGAACCTGGATCGCCCAGATCCTAGGCCAATACTCTGACCACTGTACCTTCATCATCATCATCATCATCATCATCATCATTATTATTATTATTATTATTATAACATTTCTATGCCGCCCCTTGCCGAAACCTCGGGGCGGCTTACAACATGATAAAATACATTGAAATACAATAGTACATAATAAATTACCATTAAATATAAAAATACAAAAAAATTAGGCTTGTAACACTCCAATATCAAAGAACACTGCTTGAATCCCTCCAGCATCAGCACCTATAAATGCTGGTATAAATGGTATCACACAATGCTGACCTGGAAAACAGCATTTGTTTATCCACACTGATTCAACACCCCTCAAAAAACAAAACAAAACAACTTTTGCCAGTATGATTAGCATTAGGCTACAGCAGTTGAAATCTCTGCTCACCCACAAATTTGTGCTCCTGGGATACTGACCCCTTCTCACTACCTTACAAGACTGTTGTGAGGGTGATAATGTTGTGAGGGGATAAATTTGAATAACAGTGCCAGGCTGGGGGCCAATCATCTCAAGAACATCATTTTTCTAAATTGCAGTCTTGAGAAATTTGAATAACAGCACAGCTTTGTTTCAACAAATCATGGCTGAGGTAAAGGACTTCAATATGTAGAGAAATGCAGATGGGAACGGGGGGGGGGGGTACTCTCCCACCCCCACCCCCCATGCACACATCCCATCACCATCACTTCTGTTAAGGTTGGCTCTTGAGATTTGACAAGAGATTTGAGACTCCAGTTGAAAATTTATTGCAATGACTTGAGACTTGACTTGGGCTCAAAAGTAAAGGCTTGAGTAAAGGACTTGAACACATCGCTGGGGAATACCTTTGAAAAACAAAGAGCAGCTACAAAAGAATGGGTGGGAAATAAAGTGGAGAGGAAATACTTTTAGCCCCCAGAAGATCAGACCTTTCTACAGCCTCAGGAGGGAACATGAAACATGAGTAAGGTGTCCCTTACCACAAGGGAGATCCATCAGATCCTATGACTTTGTGACTGTCTCCCAGGGACTAAAGGATGTTACACAAGATTATCCAAATATCTGACAGAAACCTGAATTAGATTAAAGGGCAAACCAAGTTTTATTGGGGAGCAGATTTAATGGGTAACAGTACAATGCAAATATACTGCATTGAATATATATAAGGCAAAGATTAAGAATCAGTTTCATCTGACAAAAATATTTACAGAGAGACCTAATAATTGTAATTTGTTAAAAAGTATTGACCATAACTTTTTCCTTTGTTCTGAAAAAGGAACAAAGAGCCTGAAAATATATTAGCAAAACCAAACTTTAAACAGGATCTGAATGCTGGGGACTATGCTCTGTATTTAAGAGAAGAACTAGACTCCAGACATAAAGCAGCTGAAATCAGCATACCAAAACAGAAAACAAAGTTTTGAGAATAATGTTACATAACAAGGTCAAAACCCTAAATCTAAACTGGTGTAGAGACAGGATGTTAGCATTAAACTGGTGGGGAACAGCCAGAATAAGGTTTAGTAGAAGTTGTAGCTTTAGCACTGCTTGATGCAGGCAGAATGACAGATGGTCTATGAGCTCCCTCAGAAAGGTAAGTATGGAAAATAATGCCTAAATATCTAAACTATCTCACTTGCTCTATAAGCTTACCCTCTAATAAGCTACTTGATCAAAGAAACACATCTCACTCTGCATCTCACATCTGAAAGAACAACTCATGTTTGTTTTACTAAAAATAATGGTCAACAAATAGACCATACAATAACTTCTAAATGCATGTAGTTCAAACTGACTGATAAGGACAGAGGAACACAATGATCTGCAAATAACAGGAGTGAGATTTTGGATCATGCCAGTATGGGTAAATGAAAATCAGTAAAAGAAATGACCACAGTCAAATCATTTATACACAAATTAAACACAGAACAAGTATACTTCCCTAAAAGACACCTGTAGTGGCAAAAATGAATCACCCACCAGACTCCTAGAAAACCCTGGGAAGGCAGTTTAGGCTGCAATTCTATGCACACTTACCCAAGAGTATTTCTCTTAAACACAGTTGTAAGTGCCAAGTAAACATGCATAGGATTGTGCTGTAAATCCAGAAGACCATCCAACCCCCACACTGAATAAAATTAACTGAACGCTCAAAACAATCCAGAACTAGAAATTTTGTTGTGGTTTGCCCCACCACATGCTTCCAGCTTTTCTATGGATGATCCTCAAAATGTCAAGGAAGCAAACTTTAAAACTATGCTGATTATGGTAGGTGGTGATATGGTAGATACGGTGATGATTCCATTTCTGTTTGGTTTTGATAAGAATTTTCCACAATTTGCATAATTCTCAAAATTTGGGACAAAAAGCTTTCAAAATTGTTTGTGGGGAAGAGTGTCAGACTGAGGCCCAAGGCTTTGGGTGCTTAACTCTTACAGGTTTGGTTTGTGTATGTAACTGTGCTATTACCTAACTGGGGTGGCCATTTCCTTTCTTCTGACATGATTTTAATTTTTGACAGGTACATCACAATCCTCTCCCTGCTGGGAATGGCTGTACTTTTTGAATTTGGCTAGTGCAGAGGGTTGTGAATTTCATTTGAGTTCATTTTTAGAAGAATTTACCATATTGCTCAAATTTCTTCCTATCTGAGAAGGAAAGACCTTGAGACTTAAAAAAAAAAAAAAAAGGATGCTGGAGAAAGTGAAACTGGCAGATCTGGTCTTCCCTGCCAGGAGGAGCACATCCTGGCTTGGCTAGCTGGTTAATGGGTGAGGACCATCATGGGTGGGTGGACACACCTAACGCCTCTGCCTGCTACAAACAGATTGTTCAGCAGACAAGCTGCCACCATTGCAGTGAGTCATCAGCAAGCGTGGAAGTGGGGGTGCCTTGGCTCCCCGTGGAAGTGGCAGCAGATGCAGCACCTCACAGGTTGCCTGAATGTGCGTGCGCTTACACTACGTGCATGCGCTTACACTATGCGCAGGCACTATCCTCTGCTTGCCCGTTCCTTCTGATTTGGTGCTGCGGGTGGAGATGAAACAATCGGCTTTGTCGTGCAGCCACGCCACAGGCCCTCCTCCCCTCCCTCCCTCCCTCCCTCCCTCACCAGGTAGTTGAGGCCCATCCCTCCCACTGCCGCCGCCAATGTATTGCCATCACTTACCCCCATGTTGTCATCAGCCTCCCCTGCCGGCTGGTACTGCCCTTGGGTACTGCTCCCCTATTGCCTGGCCCGAGAGAGGACCGCCTTCTCCCACGTGGCTTTTGGCTTGCCCTGAGAGGTATTTCGGGGAGAGCCGGAAGGATGGAGGCTGCTCTCCATCACCGCATTTGCTGCTGGAGAAAGCATGTGCGCTGCTGCAAGGAAAAAGGGCACGGAAAGCTCCGGTAAGCCATGGCAACATGGCTGTTGCTGGAAAACCTTGACTTAGCCAGCAGGCTGCTGCTTTTGAAAGTTTCATTCAGGCGCTGTTGCTGGCAGCATCTTTCTCTATGCTGGGGCTGAAGCTGCCAAAGAGGTAGCCAACAGCCTCTGACTCTCGGTCCAAGGAGCTGTCACTTGCCAGAAGCCACAGACGGTGCCAGGTTTTCATCTTGGCAGGTGCTGGCCAGCAAGCAGGCAGTGGGCACTGTGGCCTA